AACTATGAAAAAAAAAATCACTCACATTATAATTTAAATCAAATTTTCATATATTTTATTTTAGAATAATTTCAAAGAGAGAAATTTTGTGTGTGTGTGTGTGTGTGTGTGTGTGTGTGTGTGTGTGTGTACTAACAGTGTGCTCCGTACCATTTCAACGTAACTTTATAAAAAATATGCTAAAACATCACTGCATTTACTCGATACATCAGACATAGTAAATATATCAGATTTAACGTGTATTTTTGAAATTTATGAAATAGTGACAATAACATATGACTTGCTAGAAATCGCTTGTTATGACAAATGAGTGTGTGCCGTTCCCCTCGACCCCGGCTATGAGAAGAAAACTGTACTCGAATGTTCGCAAAAACCATTCAGGGGTTTTCAGAATTCTGATATACCGTGGAAAGCTGATATAATTACGGGTACTCTGCGCCTTATCTGATCAAAATCGGTTGAGTAATATATAAGTTATGAATAAAAAACATACCTGAATCGGGTGAAAAATCGGCGTGCTCCGTACCCTAAAAGTCACGTGGTATGGCCACATTGTATTTGAAACATCATGAGAATTCATTTTATTGATTGAATTTTTATGACCCCAAAGTGCGGTCGCTTGTCTGATGTTAAAAAATGCATATGTACCTGTTTAACGAACTTTGGGGTCAAAATTGGACCCCAAAGTGCGTGACGCACTCTGGGGTCGGACCCAAAGTACGTAACGCACTTTAGAGTCGAACCCCAAAGTGCGTTTGACCCCTACTGATCAAAGTGTGTTTTATGTTACTTAATCTGTGTAAAACCGCGTGTAACTCGATCAGTTATCTTCAATAAGATATCGGTATCGACGTATTGTGTGTAAATGTCAGTGTAGTGGTTAAAAGTATATTATTAATCATACCTCGTACATGTATTTACAAACAGATGTTTACTTAAAATGTAACAGGGGCGGTTCGGCGCAATTTAAATATAACTGTCTGAGCCCCTGAGGGTCAAGTAAGTTCGGGATTATTAAATCATTTCAACAACAACTATCATGGTCAAATCTATTTATTTATCAGGTTGATACTTCAATATGGTACAACAATCTGAAATATGTACATAACAATATGTAGATATAAAGTAAAATAAAATAGAAAGAATGCATTACATTAATTATTATCATATCTTATGTTCTAATCTAGAACATAATCAATTGCCTGTTTAGTGGCCAGTTCATTTTAAAATCAGCAACAGTCCTTTATATCATATTCATAGCTTATGGAATTATACACATTTAACATATATTATACTTTAAACAATACACAATACATCACACGTAACTTACCTTCTGAGGAATGAGTGTGGTCACTTACAACTTCTTTCTATCACACCAGTTAACTGCAAGGTTAAATATTAAAAGTGAATAAAAGGTGATTTGATAGATACATGTCATTCTGAAACTAATACTTATTTACAAATTGCACAATCAATGGACTGAACCAAAATAAAACAGAATCACAATAATGCAATTCTCCATATTTACAATAAAGCATTTAGCAGCAGTCAGGATAAATACAAACCAACTTTAGAAATAAAGAACTTGACCACAAAACACTAATTTTCTACCAAATCTTCTTTACAAGAACAAGACACAATGCCTTTTCCCACCAAGAAATCACATGGCATAAAAAATAGCTTAAAATCAACGATCCGTGAATCAATCTTTTTATATTTCTTAGAATACTTACCAATGTAAACATAAGATAAAATCAGTTAAAACCAATAGAGTAATCTCTCTTGAAAAGTATCAGACAAGACCGACGGATTTGTCTCCCTTTGCAAAATTATGAAATTCATAAGTAAAGCTTAGACCTGATCTTGACCTGATCTTAAAAATAAGACTCTGTTACATAAACATTATTTTATTTTAGCCCGAATGTGATGAAAGTTTATCTAGAGCTAATTTCGAAACGAGTCCATTAGAGTACTGATTTAATGTGAAGGAACATGGTAGTGACCTTTCAAAAGGAGTCGAACTCACGATTGCTTTGTCAGGGCTGGGAATCAGACGGCGTCGTATCCTACCACACTACTTGTGAACAAACACCGCAACTTTTTATTTACAAGTTATATTTTTGTTTATTTCACTTTTTGTTGGAAATGTCTAAAAATCAGATATATTTATTAAAACGCTCCCTAATTTTCCGCTTCATCTTGGTAAATGTTGCTAGCACCACTACTTTGTAATTCAAAAGTTATAGCGAACTTGCCAGACGCAATTCATTCCGATGTACCCATTTTTTGTGTCGTTTTTTAATTGTATTCATTATATAATCGTCAAGAGAAATAAGCCTTGTAAAGGTCCGAGAAATTTCACTCCGAATTTGAAAATCTGAGGAAGTATTTTCTGAAAAAAGTAATGATACTTGAAATCGAAGAGTATTTATGAAAACAAAAATCTGCTTATGATTTTTATTATTATAAATGTATATATTTTATAAGTATATGTATTTTGTAAGTGAAAGGGTAAAGTCTCACTTACAAAGTCACATTTGTAAAATTGTGTAAAGAGGATATATGTTCACGATAAAATGATAATAAATTGAGTAATCCTTAAAATTCGGTTTCTTTAACTTACTCATTTTCATGCGGCGATTCACCTGTGTGTGCGTGTTCTTGCGAATGTACGTGTGTATGTGCAAGCGTTATAGATTACATATAAAACTTTAAAATATTCTTGTTAAAAGCAACTATTCCAATTTTAAACAAAATTGCTTGGATTGTTCGTTGGGTGAATGGATTTCAACGTGGTTCAAAGAATTTCATTTTATGCTTCTGATTGCCATAAAATAATAAGAACCACAGGGCTAAAAGGTTATATTTTTACATAATGCATTGTCTATTGAATGTCATCAAAATTGGTCAAATTATAGCCATGCTACAACCAGTTTTGAAATAAAATGAGTTTTGCTATAATTCATCGCAAAACTCGTTGCGATGACATAATTTTGTGGCATTTTTTCACAACCATTTTTGCAATAAAAACGAGTTTAGCAATGAACTTTTCTTCTATCAGATTTGATATAAAGATAACACTCTAAATATTCTTATGATCGTCTTTTTATATAAGGATTAATATGCAGTGATTATTTTCATCAAATTTGTATACATCAATTTCCATCCCAATTAATCTATTCATGATTGTAAAATAGGTGATAATTGAATGGTTTTTATTAAGTATCAGCATATTCACATAACAAACATTGTAGTTTTGCAAAGATTTGGCTCAAAACTATGTGATATTCTCGTAAATAGATATTATCTTGTAATTTGTTCAAAACTTACACGTAATTTTGTGTAAGTGTTTACATTATTGTTGCAAATCTCGTTGCTATGCCATAATCTTCATGCTATTTTGTCACAACTAGTTTTGCAATAAAAGCGAGTTTTGCAATATTTTTTTTATTTTATCAGATTTGATATAAAGATTATACCCTAAACATAATTATGTTTGTCTTTTTATATAAGGATTTACATGCAGTGAGTTTATTCATTTAATTTGTATAAATTTTTATATGATTTTACATCAATATATAATCTTAACTCATCTATTTATTATTGCAAAATGTATGATACGGAGGGTTATAAAATTGACATCATGTTTACTGTGAAAATTTATTAAAATTTCACTACAATATATCGGGAAATAATTGTGTTCAGGTAGCAAACATTAAATCGGCTCACATTCTCGCCAGATATTATCTTTTTTCTAATACAGATTGAATATATCTCCGATTCTACAAACATTGTCTTTTTAAGCTGTATGTGATTGAATTTCGCTTATTGATACTTTGGTCAAGCATCGATGCTTGGTGCTTTAAATCAGAAAACTCAGTATTGTTTTGTAGATAATTTTTGACAATACCTTCTTTAAGGTTTGACTGACCTTGACATTAATCTTTAAATGGCCTTGACCGTCGATGTCAAATTATTTATTTTTGTTTAGGTTGTTATAATTTTGTTTATGTACAGATTTTATATGTTAAACAAAACAAAACTTGTGGCCAAACGGACACGTTGAATAATCTTTAGATATGAACTTGACCTTGACTGTCAATGTCAAATTATTGAATTTTGATTATATTTTCTAAACTTTGTCATCTTTTTATTGAAATGATTCCAACCTGGACAAAACAACAAAAGTGACCTATTTAAATAAAAGGAAACAATATTTTTCCTTTAATTTTCTTTCTTTATTTGTTAGCTTTTAGAAAAAGTCGAGCTTTGTCCCATCCGGCAGTGCTCTGTTTTACTTAAATTGGAACGATGTTTAGATTTATGCATTAATTGCTAAAAAGGGATAATTTATCTATTTATTTTATTTAATTCAAGTTCAAAGACTATGGCTATTCTTGTTTTATTGAGTATATCTTTTACAAACTTCGAGCTGCAGCCTCCAAATTCCCAAGTTATCCTTAATTTTTATTGAAGCCTCTTGGTATTAAACAGGAAAAACACTCGATTTTATCTATGGCCTATGGACTGAAGTTTCAAGCTGTGTCCTTACTTTTGTTTCATGGACGTTATAAACTTTTAAATCTTTGTCATCATTATAGGCTACATACCGGCAATCTCCATGTATTGAGTTCCCCTTCATTTTTCAACATCATGAGAAGTAACTGCTCAGTCTTCGGCATCAAGGATAGTAACCAATGTTAGGAGTTTGGTTTACCGGAATGAATTCTTATCATAATCAAAATATTAAACTTTGCATTTTTACATCATGTGTATCAGACAGTTGTTATGACGCTTGTCACGATTGTCTGAATGAACCTTCAAAGTATAGAGAATGATGATCGAAACAAAAATTTCATTAGATACGAACAAACATGTATTGAGAGTGTTATACATTGTATACAAGATCAAAATTAAACAATATTATAGATCAAAATAAAACAAACTACAAACTGACTTTAATTTCAATTGTAATTTCATTATGTTTTTAACGTTTTAAGGTTAAAACATTTGATATGGAGGTGCCAGGACGTAAGGAGAGCAGTGATGATAAGGTCAAGCAAAAATGCCAACCCTGCCAAGACGAAAATGTTCTTCATGAAGCTTACGGATATTGCAAAACATGTGGAGAATACTTATGTGATGCTTGCTACAAATATCATCGTCGACCAAAACCTTTCAAAGACCACGTTCTTGTTGAATACAAGACCATTATGTCAAAAGACAGAGCCCCCACGCCTCCAGACTCAGATAGACATAAGGTTTCAGATGACCAGATCCTGCAGCAAGGTGAAAATAATGATAAATGCAAGACAAAGAAATCTCCCCCACCAGTTCCAAGGAGAAGGAGGATATGCAATACAAAATGTTCTGTTCACCCTTCAGAAGATCTAAAATATCATTGCAAAACTCATAAAATAGTTGTATGTAGCGAATGTGCTTTAAAAGAACATAGACAATGTGATACGCTGGAAAACATTCAAGATATTTTTTATTCTGAAAGTAAACGCATTGTTTCAAAAATCAAATATGTAGAAGATAAAGCAGCGTATATACTAAAGCAAGAAACAAATGCCAACAAAGGAGCTGACGTATCGTATGAGGAGGTTTTGTCACAAATCCGTTTAGATAGAGAGCAAGTGTACAAATATTTTGACGAAACAGAAAAACGCTTAAACAATGAGGTTGATAGATTTCGAGAGAGAAGTAAGATAAGGCAGACGGAAATGCTCGATATGTGTCAGAAACTAAAAAAGGTATGATAAATATGTAATTATATAGAGAATCTTCAATTTTTGTTGCTCCTAGATGTTACATGACAAACAATCTCCATATGAGCGTGATACGGTCCTGATATTACTTAAATATGACTTGGGTAGTTTTGCTACAAGATCAGTGATTGTTATGTATTAAACCATTGAATTAAAATAATGCTGACTGTGTATACATTTATCGCATTTCATACAAACAGGCAATTAATTCTTTAAACTTTCCGTGAATTGGTTTCAAATTTATTGACTTTTGTATGGACATATTTTTAACAGATAGCAAATAAAAAAAATTCTATTAATAAAGGATAATATATTTTCATTGAGTGGTATGAAAAAAAAAAATTTATATGTGAGGATAGTCAATGGTGAAATATGATAATTTTCATACCACAATATGAAAATAAATGAGCCGCGTCATGACAAAACCAACATAGTGCGTTTGCGACCAGCATGGATCCAGACCAGCCTGCACATCCGCGCAGTCTGATCAGGATCTTTGCTGTTCGCTTACAAACCCTATTACAAGTAGAGAAACTGATAGCGAACAGCATGGATCCTGATCAGACTGCGCGGATGCGCAGGCTGGTCTGGATCCATGCTGGTCGCAAACCCACTATGTTAGTTTTGTTATGACACGGCTCAAATCATGTATTTATAGAAAAAAACTTGAATTTTCTGTATAATATATACATTTTTTGACATTATGATTTGAAAAGACTGTCCTTATTTTTTTGTTTTGGCTGAATTTAGATGAAAGGAGTCCGGCAAGATATCCGTAAAAATACGGAAAATATGTGCAGTGGACTGTGTTGAAAAAATAAAATCTTAAGGTAAAAATATGGAAATTGAAAATACGCATTTTATTTCAATAATATTTCTAAATATTTCATTTATAAGTATGTAATAAATTTGTCTATTTTTATTATGATTTGAGTACTTATATAATATTTTTACGGTTTCAGAAAAAAGACTTAATAAGTGATACCAATTTATCAGAAATTGAGAGATACATATCAATGACCGAAGGAGAGTGCGCAGTAGACAACATAAAGAGAGATCTCAAGGGAGTTTTCGGTCTGCCGCGTTTACATGTTTCTTATAAATCACAGTACCAAATGCTTGATTCGGAAAACTTGGTTGTCGAGAAACATCAAGGGGAAATAGGTAGACGTGAGCTTAAGCCTCTAAAAAAGGTAGATATAGCAGGGGGAAAGCAATCGTGCTCCATAAATGATATAGCAACACCATCAAATGAAACATTTCCAGTTATACTTGTAGATAGTGTAAACAAAAGACTGATTATTATTTCCGTTGAATATTCACTGATATATCACCAGCTTGAATGGATACCTTGGGGAATCACTTTTATCAGCTATGAAAGTCCAAATGGTGAAATAGCAATTACTTGTCCATATGATGACAGGATATTATTTTTGACTATCGGTGAAAATAGTTCTGTTAGTAAGCGTACATCTATAAAAGTGGAGCAACCTACTGGAATCAGATACCATGAGTCTGAAAATGTGATGATAATAGCTGTCAATAATTTTCTAAATGCTAGCATTCAGTGTTGGTCGCTAAATGGTCATTTAGTGAGAACCATTGCTTCTTTCGATTACAACATTGACAAATTAAACCTTACAAATGATGATCAAATTATTTTTGTTCCCGAATCAAAGCACTGCATACAGTCGTGTGATATGTCTGGCAAAATGTTAAGATGTATACCATATATAGATGACAATATGTGTGGACCATATGGTTTAGCATCTGATCAAAGTCAGTCGATCTATGTATGTGGATTCAAATGCTTGCGAGTGGTTTCAAGAGAAGGGGAATGGAATGAACTTCTGACAAGAGATGACGGATTTGCATCACAGTCACTCCTTGTCGGTAATAGGTCTGATAGACTTTATGTTGGACAAGGAAATGATAAAGGGTGTACTGATTTTCTTATTTTTGAATTATGAAAACTTGCAAATTAAGACATTGAAAAGGCTTTCAAATGAAATGGTGGCTTGTTTTTGCTTAAAAATTATAAACCTGCTGAAATTGCAGTATTACAGGAGCATTAAGCTTCAGAAATGAATATTTCTATTTTTTTTAAAAGGAAATGCAGATATGTTAATTGCTGTAATAATGTATTAAGAATATTTTAGGTTATTATCAAGAACGTGCTGAATGTGAAACATTGTAAAATAATTAAAAGTATTCAGGACTTTTAATTTAAAGAAAGTTGAACTATCTATTGCAATTTTCTTGGTATGAGCCAATGGGATAACATGCTGTTTCATATTAAACTTAACATTTCTAGAAATAAATAAGATTAAACTTTACCTGTTAGCACCACTATCTTAAGGGAACTTGTTAATGATGCAAAATTGTCAATTTGATTATTTGTAAGTGAATTAAATTTACAGTAGGTAAACGGTTAAGCATTTAATGAAAGGGACTTCGACATAGACATTTATGTTTTAATGTTATGATTTATTAATGGGAAAGAAAAACTGGTTGCCAAATGCCTGATTATGGTTTTGCATATGTGTGACATTCGTCCGAAACCGTTTGAGAAAAGACTTTTATATTATTAGTTATAAAGACTGTTGACAGGTTATATGGCCCTATATAAACGACTGTTTGTAAATATAACCCGAGCAGCAAGGCGGCATGTGAATAAGGAAAACAGTCTATAAGAAGTATCTAATCATGTTAAAAGTGATTTTAAGTATGCAAAGTACTTGGAAGTTATGCCTTGTAATTTAAGATGTTATTTAAGGTTGTCTTCACAACCTTCGAAAATTTAAACAGGTCGAAACGGTACCAAGAGAATCGTGTGAAATCAACGTCATTGTATATATACTTTGATAAGCACGACATTAAAGACAAATATCATTTTATTTTGATTCGCCCATGTTATAGTGATTTAAGGACATTGTTCATAAAATGTATTATTGTGTTAAACCATGCATGCCTAAATTTATAGAACTATTAAAAATGATAAAATAAGAATTCTCACTAATTTAGCTATTAAACTTGCAATGTCTTTAAGAGCAAGCGATCGAAGTGTTAAAATTTTTTTGTTACTTCACTGAAAAATAGAAAATTGCTTTCAAATACAATATTATCACGGCTGTAAGCATTTAACTAACAGTTCTAACAATGTGATTGATAACATGTGAAGGACTTGTTAAAAGAAAATGGATTTGACGGAGTCAAGATGTTTCAAGGCTCTGTTAAAATTGATACTCGTATATCAAAAACTTTTAGACTTGTCTGTAGCGTACTAGAGAAGAAATATTGAATCTCTCAGTTTTTACAAGGAATTGAAAAATAATTTTGAAATTTCAATATTTTCGATTATTTTTGATAATTTAAAGTACAGATGCGCTATCACAGAAATAATGCGTTAAAATGACTTAAAAATTAGAGGAAAACAAGACAACTAGTCTATCCAATTCAGAGAAATAAAAGGAAATGTATATAATGATCTGTTTATGTTTGTTAGCTTTTGATGCTTAAGACAAATAATTTCCATGTTATGTTATACATGTATTTTGTTTTGTTTTTGTTTTGCTTGTTTTGGTTTGTTTTGTTATCAAATTATTATCTTGTATATTTCATAAGAGATGATATGACTGGATGAGAGTTAATCATTTTTTATCCAAATAGAACATACATTTTTACCAAGGGCTACATGTATATCAGTTGATTTAAATGCTTGTTCTTCATATATTTTCATAGTTGAGTTTTGAACCAAAAAGTAATTAACATTTTCAATAAATTAGAAGATCATTTGAAACTTGTTTCTGTTTTGTTTAATGTTTATTATTGTGTTACAAAACCTTGTCATGAATTTGCTTTGACTAGTCTTGCTGAATTCAAATTATAGTTTGTGTTGTATATACTTATTACTGTGTAATTTACTTTCTAAGTTTTTATTTCATCAATACAAGTTTGAAACTGGTTAAAAGTCATATGTATCATTACATCATATATGTATGTAAACTTAATTAAAAGGACAAAAATGCAAGGACGGTCATTTGTTTTGATAGTATTATTATCATTGTAACTAACAAAACATATATTAGTCACTGCTATATTCTTATTTTTTTTTCAAACGCAATTGTTTGTTATTGTTTGTAAGAAAGCTTTGGTATATGTAACATTTTCTACAACATGTTAACTTGTTACATTATATCTGATTTTATGATAAGCATACACTTTAGACACATATTGAACAAGCATATCACATAATCTTGATAGTAATTTATAATATGACCATTCAAATTTTACCTATTAAACGAATATTACTTTGATATCGTTTCATGGACTTGTCACTTCTTTGATATTGCGAACATCAGTGGTAGTAGCTTTTATAATTGCCTTTGAAATTAACGCAATTACTGCCCAGGAAACATTCAGTTCTATCTTATAAAGAATTAAGGCTTTTCCCAAATATACTTTAATAAGAAAGAAATACTAAGTAAATATTACCTTTGAGATGATAGTTTGTTTTAATGGTAGAAGAAAATCAGGTGGTTTTAGTAATTGTGATAAAGGTACCGGAATCTGATTTTTTTTGGCTACAGTTTAAAGTTATAAGAAAAGTTATGAAAATAAGTCGACTACACGAAACATATTTTGTCATTTGTTTTATCATGACGACGCTACCTTTTGAGATTGTTATATAAAAGAACTAACAAATTAGGGCAGATGCCAAATATTTTAAACGGTTTTTTTTATACGGTTTGTGTATGTTAAATCGATTATCACCATACCCAAAGTTTATAAAGAGTTGTATGCTTTTCACTTGCCAAAGATCTTAATAGCTAGATGTAGCACTCATTACTGCTGGAGTAAGATACCAGTGCGGGCGAGTATAACCACCGAACAAGGATATCTTTTTAAAATGAGGGATTAAAGTCTCTGCCGAGATTCGACCCTAATTGATAAAAGACCAAACACATTATCAGTGTCTGCATTTTTAACCGGAAGTAATGTAACATCAACAAATCTTGAAATATTGTCTGTTTTTATCGATAAATTTTGTATAAATTTATTAATTAAAACGCAGAAATAAAACGTATCAAAACGGGAATGATGACACCTCAGAAATAAAATACGTAGAAATTTTAAACCCCTTATTTCAACGAAATTTGCAGAATATTAAGCCCGCAGAAATAAGTACTTATACGTATTATGGAAAAGTCTCAAAATAATTGTTTGTTCAGATCATATATATTTTCAGTCATATTGAAATGACATTATACATGCATAAATTTATATATAGTTATACGTATTTTGAGCATCGATTTGCATTAACATTTTATGCTTACTGACTTATTGACTGATAGAAATGTTGGATCAGAATTTGAGAGATACATCTCGATGACGAAAAGAGAGAGAGAAGCAGAAATTTACTGAAACATTTTGTCACCAGCGTTCCCTTGTTTCTTTGTTTCTTACAAACCACGCCATCATTGCATCATTTATGATGATTGATACAAGAGAAACACTTAGATGAAATTGGTTTACGTTAGCTTGAATTTCTAATTTCACCACATTTTAATGTTAATTATAAAATGTTGATTAAGCCGTTAATTGCAAGCCACAACGGGACGAGGACGCAAGCTTGTGGCTTTCAAGTACCACTTCCGTCCATGAACAGACTAAATCATACTGGGCTTATACTATTTACATACGACAAGAGGTAAACAACCGGGCTCCATAACTGACTTTGCAATGGTCACACATATGAAACATTTCCAATGATACTTGTAGGCACATTTAATGATTATCAATTTTCCGGTTAATATTCTATGATATTTCACCAGCTTGAGCATGTAACAGAAAGAAGTTACTATTAGATTAAACTTCGATGCTGCAAATAATCATCAACATTTTTCTGCTTAAAACAAGTCAAGTTATCTTCTTTTTCGACTGTACGGTGTAAGGACGTAAAAGTACATTTTATGCAGGACAATCAGCCGTTTTAACCAATATCATAAAAAAGAAATCAACTCATTTTCATTAATAAAAATAGAATCCTTTTATTACATTGAAGATTAAAGATACTTTTCTTAAGGATATACATATATATGGTAGCTGATTTGTGTCATTCGTGTTTTCGTCCAGTGATCCGGCCAAGCGAAAATTCGATCGATAATGAACAAGTAGAAATAGCGGGTGTACGGAATGGAGGCGTGGGGCAAATATAAATAAATGAAACGTCTCCCCGTGCCGCTGCTAATAAGCGTATCGTCGGCCCGCGACCCCGCCAAGACAAAAGTCGGCCGAGAATTAACAAGCTAAAATGGGAGGGGGTTACGGAGCGAAAACCCGCGAATTAGCGGGGCAAAGTTAAATAAATAAAACGTCGCCCCGCGCGGGTGCGGACCAAGATTTTAGAAATAAAACGATGGGGTGCAAAGCGTAAACACTCTAATAAGCGGGAGCGCGCGAGGTTTTGTTTGCTTATCAGCGTGTTTTAGCTCTCTTTTTTAATGCTTTTATTTAAGGTCGCCGCCGGAAAGCCCATATGGGCGACCGTACACTCAGGTCGTGCCATCCTAGAGCGTCGTTTTTTTCCAGCTTTTATTGGTGGAGGAAGACCCCAGGTGCCCCTCCGGCCATTATTTCAGGCACGAGCGGGCACCTGGGTAGAACCAACGACCTTCCGTAAGCTAGCTGGATGGCTTCCTCACATGAAGGATTTCGACCCGAGTGAGGATCGAACCTACAGCGGTGAGGGACCTGTGATTTCAAGTCAGCGACCTTAACCATTCGGCCCCTAACTACATGTTTAAGCTCCGTCGTTAACTTTCTTAAATCTCACTCCGCGCCCCCGCGGGGTGAAGTTTTATTTTTTAAATCGTACTTGTATCAGTGCCACCCAAATCTGATTTCTACTTACTTGTACGTTTTATCTGAATCATTTACTTACTTTGTCCCATATGATCTTTGTTATTTAAAAGTAAAGTCTGAAAAACATCACTTGATTGTTCAGGTCC